CACAGCCCTAACCACTGATTGAGTCCATGCACGATAGCCCCTTTGCGTTGCCATGGAAACCATTACCAAGCTTAGACAGTCCTTTCTGCTACCACCTCCTCTCCCCATCCCCCGTCTGTCACCCCCTTTATACAAGACGTACTTTTATGTGCATTTTGGTTATAAAGCGGTTTAAACGAATCTCTCAAACATCAAACTGAGAGGCAGTGGCATTGACATTGACTTCTCCTTACCCCAATACACCCCATACCCATCGTCATACCCGTCCGCGTAGTTTTGGGTGTCACTGTCATCATCACAATCCTGATTCTGGCCATCTTCACCCTTCTTGACATCGTCCAAAAAAGACTGGGGGTCAAGGGCCTGAAACCAAGCCCTGTTCATCTTAGCGACGCTGTCATCTGGTCCCGATGCCAGGTCCACGATTCGTGTAAAGTTGATCTGTAGACACAGCCCGCCACCACGGCTGATAATATCAATATTAGGTACCGATTAGCAATCTAGGCATTGTGGAATTTCTAGGTCAAATATCATGCTAGGACCTACCATGGTAGAGCTATTGTTCGATCCATGCAGAACGGAACTGTATCCTCGGTGCCCGGTTTCGATATACCCACGGTCATGACGTGCGCTTGTTTGACAAAGTCTTTTCTGCATGCTTGCCTTTGTCCTCGGGTCGGTTTGTTCTGACAGTGCTGTTGTACTTGGGCTTTTGTCAGCGGGCCAAGGCGTTGGCAATGTTTCCCAAACAAACAGCTTTTAGCTAGTGACCGAAGAGTTGTCTGCAGCGGTGTCTGAGCACGATGCCATGTTCCACCAAGCCGATCTAGTTGTGTGTAACGCAGGCAATCGCAACGGTTGAGGTCAAAGAGCATCGTCTCGATGAGTCGTCCAGGCTCTGCCTCGGGACACGTAAAACCTGCTTGCCGCTCTCGGAGTTTAGCAAGGTTCTCGTCCAACATTTCGGGCGTGAGGCTGTGATTATTGGGGCTCAGGTCGACGTGTGCCATCCAAGATATGTACAGTATAAACTTCTGGCGTATCTCGGTCCTTGCGTGATTGGATATGCCTTGCCTCTTGCGTATGGGTACACGGGGGTGCAGAGGAAATGTACCTTCCTGCCAACTTTTTCCAAAACACAAAAACGGAAACGACCCATCCATTTGGTTGCTGTTGGCATGATTGCATGTGGTCTTTGTCGCGACACATTACCACCGTCTCGTCATTCACCCCCTTGCACTTGAGCCTTTCCCATGAGAACCTGGTAGACGACACCCTTTGGACATCAGACCATCGGAAAACCGTGTGCGAGCACAATCGGATAAAACCCGTATGCCCAACACAAAGACGGCTGTCCCTGCCCTTGGAGCGCTCAGATGGGAGGAACAGGCATACAGGGTGGTCGAGCTTGCAGTCCAAGCAGTGCAAGTACACCTTGGTCAAATAGTGAACTCTCTGGGCCCAATTCCTGGCGAGCTTCGTGGCATAGCAATCAGTACAGTATAAGTCTCTCGCTAACAAGAACGTGAGAGTAGTCCGTTGTTGAGATGTGAGATATCGGCGAAATCTGGCCCATGGATAATTCACCGATATGTAATTCGCTGGTAAAAAGTCGCATTTCTCGAATAATTGAAGAAATAACCGACCGGCCCGGCGAAGACACTCAAGGCTGACTATGTCTAACAACTTCATGATTCTGAAGATCACAGTGTCAGGGAGCATGTAGAAGGGGTTCTCCAGGTAGCTTTGCAACGCAGCATTGACGAACCCCACGCCTCCAGGTTTTGTGACGCATTCTGTATGCCTTCAATTCTTGTGGATTTTGGCACGGTCGTTTGGCGCTGTTCGGTTCTCGAGAAGGGAAGGAACAGACCAAGGATCATGGTAATTCTCGCGGTTGTGCTTCCATTGGGGTTTTCGACTAGATCGTTGGTAGGCAAACAGCTCCGCACTCTCTTCGTTAGCCTGCACGCTCAAATACTCTACGGAGGGGGGCAACGAGCAGACATCGCAAATCAAGGTTGTTAGTCCGGTGAATAGGTAATAACTGTCTGCGAAAAACACGATACGGAAGAAAGAAGAGAGAAGAATGGAAACAAGTAGGGGAAGAGAAACGGACAAGAACCACCGACTGTGACAGGAGAAAAACTAAGCAGATTTTTGGATGATAAGTTCCCCACTTAGATACACAATCTACACACTATAATTGTAAGGCGCGTTGCCAACTATAATGCATCAATGGTCGGCGGACTTTGACTCGAGGCGTTGGTGTATTTATATCATCAGAGCCTCTATCCATATTGTGGGTTCCTTGAGGGATCCTTGAGGGGAGTTTTACAAATGAGAAAGTTACAGAACCATCATGCATAGACTTGAAGAATTAGTTTGTAAATTATAGTTACACACATTGTCATCAGTAAGAGGATTGCATACCTAATCTTGTATTATGCTGTTGTTTGATTATTTTGTACAGGCCCTTAATAAGCTTTCAGTGCTTAAAGCTAGGGCGTGTTAAGTAGCTGACGCGCTGTCACATGACTTGGAGCATCATTCCGCGGAGCTGCTATAGAGACTGTGCTGCGCGGCGCATCAGTGTTGCACATTGGTAGAAGGTTGCAGAAGGTTGTGTAATACAAGCGACCTCTTTCTAGCCAGTGTCAGATGCGTATCCCGATCATCTGATGGGTTTTGAAAATGCAAAGCTGCATGAAAAGGAAGAAAAAGACAAAGACACTGTATAGTGCGGGATTTCAGGCACCGTTCTTATCTAAGCAGCGTAAGATAAAGCTTTCTTCCTGAAAGCCTCGCTGGGCTTTTTATCTTTTATGCCTGACATGTAGCTAGAAACACTCTCAGAGCTAGAGCCCTGGAAAACGGCTGTTCAGCACCATCCCTTTCAGCACCATGCTTCATGCTGCACTTCTAGAGCAAAAGGCCGGCTTTTCGCAGCTTGAGTATGATATACAGTATCGGAAAGATGCAGAAAGACATGTTTTGATGCAGAATTAATATAGAGAGCCTTCCGTCACGGTTTTGGGAGACGGTGGGGACGTAAGGAACCAATCAGGACTGGACCGGGCGATTGAGCGGGGCTCACGGTCCAGGTGGACAGGATGGACCAATGGGATTGGACCGGGGACCGCGGCAGGGCTCACGAACCACGGTCCAGTATCGGCCAATAAGCGAGGACTGTCTGGAAGTCAACGGTCCACAGTCCCTAGGTCTATATATACGGAGGAACTGGCTGGTGTAGATAGACAGTTCCGCAGTATGCAATACAAATCACAATCGTTGGTATCTAGACTGTTGTGAATGAGACAAGCTATTTGTTGTACACTGTTTAGCTGTACCGAACCAGGATTGTTCAGAAGTGCCTTCAACTAGTATCTCTGTTAGAGGTTCTAGATAGGAGTTCATCACACCTTCATAATTCGAGATCTATATTTGTAATGATGATGTTTTATGCTAATGATCATATTAAAAAAACCAATTAAATTTTACCTAATAACTACAAATACTTTTAATTATAGATTGAATTTAGAATATTAGTAGAAAATAGCAGTAGTTTTCAAGTAAAAGATTAAATGGATTTATTTAGTCCAATTTTATTACGTAATTTTAGTAGTATTTATTTGGCAGGTTATTTCTTAGCAGTCGTTACTTATCAGGCTTCTGTAACAGGCCTAAAACAACAACCAACAAACAGGCAAAGCAAGCAACATGAACTGGTATGTATTTTCCTTTTTTTAAGCTTGTATTTCTACCGGTTTATTATTTTGTATGATTCTAGATGGGTCTGTACTTTTAATCGACTTTTTTACGATTTTTGGGCGTTTTTGGGATACGCGCTTCTCAACGCGTCTTCCACCGCTACTCGAGGTTCCATGAGCTCGACAGTGACAGCGACCACTTCGCCCACACGCTTCCCATTCCAGAGCACTGCGCTTCCAGTGCCTGGTCGAAGTGGTTTACTGTTAACAACTTCTTTTAGGCCAGATATCTCTCCAAATAATGCGACGCCGAGCAACGGGCTGGCGCCCTCCAACGGCGAGCCTCCCGCCAAACGAACCCGCCTGGAACGAGAACAACCCGACCGAGAAGATGCGCTGAATAGGTGCCTGCAGAAGCAGGTTTTCCCTCATATTTTCAAGTGTCTTGATACTCTCCGAGAGCATGAAGACAAGACTCTTGAGCTTGGCCGAGAAGTAGGTGCCACCATGCGTTCTTGCTATATATACATTTCCACCACTTGTGTCAACCTGTCCTAAATACCTTTGTACCGAGCTTTCCCTTACACACCGCGCGCCCTAGCTTATCCTCCTCTTGACCTCCCCGGGCTCCGAGTTTGCTCAGGAGTATCATTCTAGGGCAACAGGAGACATCTCCGCCGCCCTAGAAGCCAAGATAGCCGCGCGCGTGCCTTACGAACTCCAAAACCTGCTTGGTTGCCATGTACCCCTCCCCTTCCCCACAGCTACCAGGCAGTGACAATTTGAGCTAACTTGTGTCTGTAGAATTCTCAAAACACCTCGCTCGAGGCGTCCATACCGAAGCAGCTTGCGAGGATCTCCTCCGGTCCTATACATTCATCATCCCCAATTCCTCTGCCCAGAATACCTCCTCCGAATATTCCCCCAAAAATCGAAAAGCCAGACCAAGTACGAAACCCAGCGAAGGCGAGCGTGAGACAGGCTGCCCTGATTTCGACGTCTCCTATCCCTCTTCCGCGTATTCCTCACCTCCCACCGGCGAGGGTGCAGGCGACCGGTCGCTCAATAGAGGAGGCCATTGTTATTGATGATGATTCGGGCGACGAAGATGGGCTGGCTCCGCAGAAATCTGCCGCACCGTCTTTGACTCAAAGGAGGGTGTTTGCGCCAGTCTGGCGTCATGCTGCCAGCGTGCCACCCATCCAGTTAACGCAGCGGCGGCCCTACCTTTACTTCAAAGACCGGGCATTTGCTGTCAGTTATGCCCACAGCTATTTTGACGATTTACTTTCGAGCCCAATTGATCCGGTCACATTGCATGTGGACCTCACCGCACGAGAAATCCAATCGCTGAACGACCTTGCTTCTAGAGTCTTTCCTGCCGAATTCAAAAAGAAAAAAAGGGACGGCCATTCTCATCTAGCAAAGCTCTTGAAGAATAAAAAACTTCCGGATGCTTTGTCGAGCCTTCTAGGCGCATGGGAAGCTGACCCTAATCGAAGGATACTGTTTCCAGGCAGGGAAAAGGAGGATCTCGAAAACTTTCTAAAGGATCTCAAAAACAGACAACTCAACGACCGCCCTGCGTCGATCATCCTGCGCAAGGACGAGGCTAACCGACAAGGGAAGTTCTTGCGGGAAAGCAAGATTTCGTCCTTGCTATTTGCCAGGGAAATCGTGGGGTCTCGTGGTTATGGGTCGATGAGAAGGCCACAGAACTTGGACAACGAAATTCGAAAATGCCGCGAAGATGAGCTGGCTCTTCGAGCCGAGTGGGCAGGCGGTGCCGGGGATATCATCACGATTGTCTGGATATCAGATGATGGCTTCATCTGTGGGACAACCGAACACTCTGACTCCCACAACCAGCAGTACAACAAACCCGGCAACTTGGTCCTGGGCTCTTGTAGCTTGAAGACTATCAGAGCCTATCCCGACCATCGAATTGTCCGGCCGATCGTTGGGAGGGGCGAGAATTCAACAGATGCTATGAGACAGAGCCAGGATCCTTGGCTCTACTCTTCCGTGGTGTCTTCTGCATACGACGCCATTCATGACAGGGCTTACACTTCTGGTTTTGATTGTTGTGTGAAAGTCTGGAGGGCGGAACCATCAGGCGCTTCGATGAGTCTGTTAGGGGAGTGGAAGCATGAAGGCAACGTGAATTTTGTCATTGCCTCCAAGCACAGCTCCGGCATGGTGGCGACTGCTGCGGATGTTGCTGCGGGTGCAGTGAGAGTGTACAAGATCAACGAGGAGGATATCTCTGGAAGCCCTTTTGGTAGGCTTTATTGCTCCCGCGTTACGGACGAGAGAGGAAACTTAGTGTCGACGGAAAAATGGGCATACTATCCGGCAACTATGCAATGGGGTATTTGCGAGGAGGTTCAGCATTTGCTCCTGGTTGGGTATTCTCCGCGTAGTCGAACCGGAGATGACCTCGACATCCCCGAGGACCGGAAAAACTCGGGCGAGCTTTGTTTGTGGGATGGCCTTACGGGCAAAAGGCTCAACATCTTGTCAGCGGAGAAGTCCAACGTCTTTGAGGTACTATGGCATCCAAACCAAGCATCTTTCATTGCAGCCACGTCGCCCTCGGGCTTGGATCTGGAGCCCAAGACGAAGACACAAATTCGAATTTTTCGGCCCACCGATCCCGCTGAAGATGGGACCGCCCAATTCTCAGCTATCAAGGTGTTGGACTGCCCGGCTCTGGATATCAATGAGCTGACGATTATGCCAAATAGCCCAGCCTATTGTTACGTCACCGCTGGGTGCACCAACGGCAAGGTGTACGTTTGGGATACTGCTCCCGGCCGTGGTCTCGTTCACTTACTAGAGCATGGCCAGCCAATCGATGAGTGTGAGGGTGATCGAGAGAAATACGATGTGGGCGTGAAGTTCACGGCTTGGGGCACTTCACCTGACCGCTTCTACACCGGCTCGTCGGATGGTGTGGTCAAAGTGTGGGACATAAGGTCTTTCGATAAACCACTTGTGAGAATACTGCTTGAAGCACCAGCGCCTATAGCTTGCGGCGTATTTTCTCCAGACAAGTCAAGACTGGTCGTTGGCGACGCAAGTGGTCGAGTGTTTGTCCTATCAGTCTACGAGGAGGACGATAACCCGAAACCGAAAGACAAAATCAAACTGCCCAACGGCATGATGCGGGAAGTTGAACGCCCGCATCAAATAATTCCTCACCCAGAGCCCGAGCCCCCGGCTCAGGATGCCGAAGGTCGGGCGCTCCCGCCGCCCGAGGTTGAGACGCCCTGGGCAATCGCCAGGGCTTATCTGGCGTCGGGACAGCTGGTTATGCACCCTAAGCGCACCATTGGGGCGGTGCAAGGCCCAAACTACTCGTCCACGGGGTTGTTCTGCGCTGAGGCACATTTGAATGGCGACCCCAACGCGCCGTTGTTGGGACAATGGCTCTGCAATCAACAAGAAGAGAAGGCGACATCCCGTGGGAGCTCATCTAGGATACGCCACCTGTCCCTGAAGCCGATCAGGGAGCAGCCGGGGCTTGGGGAGGTGCATCTTCGGAATATGAGCAGGGATGTTCTTAACTTGAACTCTTTGCCTGAGCATACCAAGCGGGAGTTGGAACGGGAGGTGGATTTTGAGTTGCTGGGAGAGTACACCTTGCCGTATGAGGAGCTGCCTGAGATGGAAGAGGGAGATGGGGATGAGGATGAGGACGAGGATATGGATGAGCTTTAGATTTAGATTTAGACGGGGCGGTTCTGTTTTTTGGGGCATTTGCATTTGTTGTTAATTTTGTGAGCAAGCAAGCATTTGGTTATTATGGAGTGAGAAGGGACGGGAGTCAAGAAGATGAGGTAGCGGGGATGGGTATAATTGTGTAGAGAAGTTGGGGTAAATGTATGCAATGCAATATTAAATACTTATTGATACAGGCTGAGAAGCTCCCTTGCATTATTATGAAGCGTGATTTGATGACCTAGAATGTGTTTCTGAGTTATGGGTTGAGGGTCTCACGCTATGGACAGATAATAGAGAGAAGTTAACCAAGTCATCGCCATTGAAGATTTGTTGCAGGCGTAAATAGTCACTGAAGATAATAACTTCCAGCCACCTAAGCCATCTTACTATGACTTGGGCTTCAATGCCAGCCTCGACTTCAGTTCCCAACACATTACAATGTTACCTCATAGGCCCATGCCCTAGACAGAATTAACATCCTTCAAGTATAATCAAGAGTCCTTTAAGGATAGTTAAGATGCCTTCGAAGATAGTCAAGAGCCCCTTAAAGATAGCTAGTAGGCCTTCTAGGATAGTTGGGGGCCTATGAAGGATAGTCAAGAGGCGTTTAAATATGATTCAGATGCCTTTAAAGATAGTTAAAAGGCCTTGAATACTTGATATAGGTGTTTAAGAATAATTGAGAGGCTTTTAAGGGTAGTTAAATGGCCTTAGAGGATAAGTAGAAGGCCTTAAATATGGTTGATAGGCCTTCAAAGATGGTTAAATGACCTGAAAAGAAAGTCGGAAGTGTGGTCACGGTTGTAGAGTGTCGAGTTGGATAAGGAACTTTCTTGCTATCTTTGAGTTAAGAGAAGAGTGTCTTGACTCCCTCTTGGGGCATGATGTATATTAGGCTAGGCTATCGCAGATGTGGAATTATACGTGAATATAGACCGACGGCTGTCTCTGTCTTGAATTTCGCCTCGGTAAGTTTGTGTGATGGCTTGTGACTTTGTATGCTGGATCAGACATGTTGGTAACCCCATGCCGTCGTGATGGCCATCTCCGTCACATCCGGTGCTGAAGACTCGGGGGCTTGACGTGGTATATCTAAATCTGGGTTGATTGGGTCTAACTGAATTCACATGTCCTTTACAAAAATATATAGTAGTCATAAGTCGACCATCCATCTGCCTGGTATCATATAAAGCTACAAGCAGCAGGCGACAGCACTAATATTCCTCACGAGGCAGAGACTCGCCCAAACCAAACGAGCAAAGTCAAATCATCGTCCTGACGGCAGTGATTCAGCCCTTCATGACTCCCAAACAACCCAACACCGGAGATACTGCCACCAGACCACAACAACACTCACCCCTATTACGGAGCACACCTAGAAAAGCACACATCACCACCCTCATGTCACCAAACCACCACCCACTGCATCAGAACATACCCTCACCCCATCTCCAGACCGCTCATCAGCAGCCAAAACTCCCAATCCCCACCTTTTTGTCCAGTATCTATGGAGTCAGTCAACTGCACTCCATCAAACCCCATAACCTACCCCATACACGCACCAAAACTCATCCCCAGGAAAACCCAAACCGGCAAAACATTGAAGCTGACCATGACAACCGCCGGTGCCAATCGATGCTTCGATGGTGTCAGTGTCCGGTCCGATCCGGCATTGGGAAGTCCGGCCCTCGTGTGGGACCGGTCAGCCATCAAACCAACAAGTACGGTACAGCTAAGCTAGAGAGTTATGCAATTTGTTGTCCACCGCTCATTTGGAAACTTGCTCTCATTTTTTGACTCCATCCCGCCCGCCAACCTGTTCTGAGTGTCCCCAAGACAACGACCGACAGAAAGTGACAACACATCACCGCTTCTTTTCTCTCTTATCCGGTCGGTCGGTCGGTCGGTCGGTGCTTCTCATATCCACTATCCATCCAAAAACCCCATAAGTGGGAATCCTGATATCGCTAGGTACCCATCTATGGGATCCGCCTTCTTTTCCTTTTCTCCTCGCGACAAACATACAAACAAACACCAGCGCCAGCGCTGATGTAAGTAAGGTACGGCGCTCACAGCGTGACCACTGACGGATGAACTGCTTCCTGAGTCCTGACCACGGGAAACCGGCCTTGCGGCGCGCTTCGATGCGGCCCCCTTTTGTGGAGTCAGATACTACCTCTCTGCTGCCGCCCCCGTACATGATTAGTACAAAATGCTGTCGTTACCTTTTTTCGTGTGAAGTGGGTGAAAGTGGTATGCCGCCGGCGCCGGAAGGACCTAAACTCCTCACGCCACTGCAGGTACCAGTGGTACCTTATGCACAAGCTACATTAGATAATGTGGGTTTGTTATAGTCTAGGTAGGCTAGTCGCCGGAAAGGGAAGCTTGGCCGGTTTTGTGCATTTGATCAAAGGGTTGGTGGTGGTGGTCGTGAGTATCGTCAATGTTGTCGTCGTTGTTGTCAACATCACCAGAACCTCACCTTGGGATTGTGAAAATCACTTATTTTTAGACCCCCAATCTTTGCAAGATCGATGAATATGAACCCAGCCCCCCCCCCCCCCCCCCAAGAACCTTGGCCAGTCGATCACCAGCACCCAATGTCTCATATTCACCTAGTGTACTCCCCCCCCAAAAAACCTCAGGAATGCCAAGTCATATCAAGCCGGCATTTCTGATGACAAAAACAACACGAACCACAGACCCGGGTCATGGATGGGGTTCCGATAACAACGGGTTTCTTCAATAATCGGCCCGGTGCTTATGGTGGCTTGAAAGTTTGTCTCCACAATCATGAACTCAAACCATGCCAGTTTCAACCCCCCCCCCTCCCGCCTCCTCACGATGCTCGATATTTGCCTCAGACAGCCAAGAAGACGTTGCCCATCGCCAAGAAGTGATATACGTTGACCAGCTGACCTAAATTGTTGATTTCGTGGGTGTGTTTTAATATACGATGTGTCCCATGAGACATCTCGTCGTGGGTTACGCGGTCGTCTGGGCAAGGTGATACAGAGGCGCAAAAAGAAAGCTGGCTGAGTGAGATACCTTATGCAGGAAGAGGAAGAAAAGAGAAGGTGTAACAGATAGGAAAAGATGTGTAATACAAGACCGTCAGACTCGAGGGAATTCCAACGACAATGATGGATGTGTATGAACCATGGTGCCGGCGCCCAGACGGAAAGGTGATGATGGCCTGTGTAGCGTCACCGGCAGTTCCAGTCTGACAACAACTCCAAGATCCGCGTGTCGTTCCTTGGCTGTGGGTAGTTACCTTGTGTATGCTCTTGGGTGGTGATATCAAAGGTGTAAGTCCCGGCAGCCGACCAGCACAACGGGCTTGGTATAGGGAACAGAAGTGCGGTTCCTCCTCCTAAGACCAGCAGTCTGGCTTGCCATACACTGATTGAGGCAAATCACCTCTAGCCACGCGATTCCCCCATCCGTGCCCAGCCGTGATACAGTGTGTCTGAGAAGCTACACTAAGTTACACAGACATGTACAACGTACGTATTTTGTATAGAACGAAAGACCACAGCATGCTTGGCTGTGATGCTCCTTCTTCGACTATCTCTTCAGCCCCCGGACCGAGGCCCTTGACGAGCAATAATTTGATATCAATGCTGAGATGTCTCCGCTGCGAAAGGCTAACCGAAAGGCAATATACTTCCAGTAGCCGTCTCATGCCCTCAAGTTGGCCGGATACTCAACCCCTCGCCTCGCACGAAACCGTTAGCTCGAGCTTTCAGACGTTCTAATAAACGTGATATGCCGAGGCATCCTAGACGATAGACCCTGCGTGCATCCCACGCAGTACCAGATAGATTGAAAGGTACCGATCTTGATCATCGAAAACACTGGAACCATACGCAGCAGGCAGTATATCACACCGGCCCACACCAGCCTGCTTTGACAGGTGCTACTAATGCTGTGCGGCTGCATCGGCATCTCGCCGCCGTCGCCCGTTAAAACTGCACCTTGCCTTGTCTAATACACCGCAGAAGCAAGGAAGCAAGCAATCGTAGCCGGCATCTTCATCACCCGGACCCTATCTTGGCCCTGTCAAAATACCGGCCTGTGCCTCACCATTGCGTTGCAGAAAAGCGGCCGGGGCACCACCGGGCGTGTTGCAGTGTCGTCCTCGTCGTCCGTCGTGTTACGCTGCGGCTGGTGAACCAAAAGCCAGCTGCTGCCCCGAGCACACACAGCTTGCCCTTTGTCTCCCATCACAGCAAAACCAGCGAAATGGAAGGGGTCGCGGAGCGGAGCCCGGACGGAAACGTGGGTCCCAGACAAAAGCCGAAGAGAGAGAAAAAAAGTTCGATTGGCGAATCATATCCCGGCATGGGTCAGACCAGTTTCCTTCTTGGGCCAGCGCTTCGTCTTCGCCTTGTTCCTTGCGTAGGTACCTGCATTTCTTGCTCACGGGAAGTGGATGTTGGATTCCGCTTGCCAGAGTCAGCGTCCCAGCAACCCAAAACACCACGGATGCCTGTCCAACTCCTGGAAGAAGTCGGGAGGGGGAGGAGGCCAGCAAGGTGGTCTATAACGAACGCGGCTTCGGTTCCCCAGTTGCGCTGTTTCGAAATTCCACAAACGTGGACAGAAATTCGCAAAGCTAATCAGCCTGACACCAATTTAGCCGCTTTCTGCTTGCTGGAGACCTGTGCTATTGATGTTGATCCTGATGCAACCGCTGTAAGCTTGCTTGCCTTGACCCCCACGGCCCAAGCGAGCGAGAAGGGGAAAAATGGAAAAAAACGGATCGTGAACGTGGTTGGTGGTGCTGCCCGTGTTCGCTCGTTTCGTTTCGTTTCGTAGCACTCATCAACAACTTCTCACTGGCCTGGCTGCTTTGCTGACACATTGTGGTGTCTGTCCCGCGTAATGGTTCAGCCGCCCGCGCTGCTGTCCACACGGCACGGCGATCGATTGGAGAAAACAGCTCTCGGTCAAGGCTGGCTAGCCACTTCACTCATGAGGGGAATGCGGGGGAG